CGACTTCATCATATCAGTTTACTGTCACCATACTATTGCAAAATTTCTAATTTATCTAACGTTAGGAAGTGGGTTATATTTGTGTGCCATTTGCGCATTAACTAACATACTAACAAGAGAAGCATATAAAAAGGTTTTAAAACTGAATTGAAAAAGTTTAACGAGCTATTAAATGCTTGTAAAAGAAAAGATAAAATAGGTGTTAAAGTAGAACTTGATTGTAAAAGCTTTAAAAGTGAAATACTGACTAAAACTAATAAAATTAGAAGAGATTCGTTGAATAGGGGACATTAAATCTAAAAGAGAGAATTTAAATAGAAAGTATGTTTGATTTAGTCAAAATTTACTACAAAGTTTGCCCAGTAAAATTTAATATTCATAGATTTTATTTTTAATTAAAAAAATATAGATATTCTTTTAAATTCTGAAAAACATTTGGCGAATGATACTCAATACTATTCTGAATTTAAAATTTGTTTAAAATGAAACCCTACAGAAAATTTGCTCTCAAAAAGTATGAAATTATATATTTTTTTATTTAATGGATACATAATAGTAACGATCAAAATCTGTATTATTATAATTTATATTCAATGTGTCTTTATAAATATTTTCTTATCGATTGTAATCAACATATATATACAACACATAGTGACATATGTATACTTAATTTGTTATTTCTTGTTTGTGCGAATATAGTTAGAATTAAATTAGTTACCCCTCGTCGTAATTTGAGTACGAAAACATACAAAAAAAATTATGACTATCATTGTACCTTTCTAATTGTATCCCATCCAAAAAAATATCCAAATAGAAGCGACATGAATAAAAAAAAACTATAAATTAACATAAAGTACACATTGTTATATTTCTTACGACATTTCCTCGTAACAGTCCTTATAAAAGACTCCCTGATCGATGTGCAAGAAATGAAAATAAATATCCACCGCCGCCTATTGTGTTTGACTGTGTCGAGGAGAATTCCTCTCTACGACACTAAGGAAACGTAATAAGTGGCCTACTTCATACATTTTGTATTAAAGGAAGTCAATTAGGACGACTACAGAACGGAATCTTTCACTGTACCTACTTAATGAAATAATCAAATCTTCATCGTGTTCCACCGCTTTGTGACTAAGCGACCTTTTTCATTTCTGTGGACACATTTTCAATTTCGCTAAGCAATGTTGAATTATAAAGTTTCCATTAGAAATACAGAATCACAAAATAAACACAAGAGATGGTTGCTAAAGGTAATTGAATTTATGTAAAAATATACGTAAAGCCTTTTTTTTAACAAGACCAACTTTGTTCTGTTAAATAACCTACGCGTTTTAGGAATCTGACTTATTTTTATAGAGATTATACGTAATTCCGGTTACTTTGCTAAGAAAAACTTACTTAATCAAGGGATCCTAAAGTGTTTAAGCGGTATGAGTATCTCGAGATACTTCTGGTTTTTATAAAAGCTGTAACACTCGAGATTTTGCGAAATAAAAGATTGAGATCGAAAAGTTAATCAAGATTAGGATTATGGGAGATTACAGCGCGTTGAAGAATGCACTACCGTGGAGCCGCAACTCACGGGTTACGTCATTCTCGATTATTTTTTCTAGACGAGTAAGCATTTTTCTCGGCCGCTTACAAATGACCGCTTAGGTGGGTACTGAGAAATCGTTCTCCACATTTTATTTTCTCTCCTGTAGATACTCCCATTATTCCGTTAATGGAACAGTGTTCAGAGCTGGCCAAACAATGTAAGCCTATCTAAAAGACGAACGTATTAGTAACATAAGTGGTTGGATGGGCTCCGATTGTGTTGTTTAGCTGGCAGATCATTGTGTTCCACAATACTGATAAGGTTAATATTAATAATACCTTACTTAATGCTGACCTGATACTTTTCTTTGTTATCTGTTGAAACGATCCATTTTCTTGTGTTTTTGATACAATTGATTAAAACAATGTTAACATTGGATACCTGTTTGTTTGGGAAAGTTAAAAAGTATTCATGGACCGAAATAAACAATTTATTTGGTTTTTAAACAATTTATTTTGAATACATTAAATATATATTAAATTAAATCATTGACTAATAACCATTGCATATATAAAGCTACATGTTTTGAATCAATCATATTTACCATATAGAAAATACATAGTATGACTTAACCTTTTAATAGTATTTTAAATTATATGTTTATAAAAAACTTTTAATTTAAAAAATAATGCTAGATCACGGGCTAGACTGAATTCTAGTCGTTGTTAATAATATTCATTTGTAAAGGTACTTAATATTCATAAATTGTACCTCTAAAGTACGTAATATTACACTGCCTTCATTTCATGCCCATTACCCATAGCAGCAACAGTAGATTATCAAAAGCTTTCTTGCTATACATACAATAAATCCGATCATAATGAACGTTGAAATGAGCACTCTACACAAAAGCTGTATTGTCGTACCGCAGAGGCAAAACAAATATAAAACAAAAATGGCTTATTCCCGTCTCGGGGGTCTCAGACAGGCGGTCTTTCATTCAGCCGTCGCGACGTCCGCCCAACGAGTATCCGCCCTAACTTCACGAAAACATGCCAACAATATTCATAGGTAAATCAAAAGGGAAATATTCAATCGCGAAATATATTCAAACTTTTCCTTCCAATAACAATTAGAATAGGTATCGCTTCTAAAATTTCGGTAAACTAGTGAGGGTTGACTGATGACCGATATTTTAAGGAAAATTGAATAAATCTTATCTATAAGTATAAATTCGTAAATGATTTGGAAATTTTGAATACTACAAAATACTTTATTCGATTATCTTTTACACTTTATTTCATTGCTTGTTTGTTCTCATTAATTCTAAATTGTGTGCAGTTATAACTTCTTCTTAGTCGGGCACTACTATCAGAATATTCGTGGTTGCCCTGATAAGAATGGGGAATACGGGGAGACCCTCCTTAGGTCGTCGTCATCGGTTTATCCGAAAGCAGCCCTCCGAACGATACATCTCTCCCTCTGCCGGTTAACAGGACCGCGAGTACACTGGACAATAATAGATTCAGTAGCTTCATTGATCAGGTCAGTCCAGCGAGTCGGTTTTTGGCCGCGCTCTCTTTTGCCTTCCACTTTGCCCTGAACAACAAGTCTCTTCACCGAAATTTCATTTCTCGAGATATGACCAAACAACTTAAGTATTCTTAACTGTACAGTCAACGAAAGCCGGTCCTTAATACTAAGATTCTTGAGGATGGAAAAATTGGTGCAAAACGCTGTCTACGGGATATTAAGGATCCGTCTCCAGCGCCACATATCGATTTTACGACGATCTCACGCGATCTTACGCGAGTCTCAGATACCAAGTTTCAGCACCGTATAAGAAGATGGGGAAGACAAGGCTTTTCATCAATCTGACGTTTTCTTGATAATTCTTCAGTCCCTCCAAATCTTACTCTGATGGCGCACCGTCGTCTGATTTCGTCTATCTCCAGTGCTTTCGTCAGCACTGGAGATAGTAGAACAAAGGTAGATATAATTCTGTACAACTTCACAGTTACCTATGTTCCTTGGGTTAGCACCACTTTGTTCAGCCCGGTCTACTAGCATCAGTAGTTATAACACGTACTAAGATTTTGTGCAAACTATATACACAATACTTTCATTTGTAGAAATTTATGAATTCATAGTTAGGTTTAAACCGGATTAAAGATTAAGACAGTAAGATAATATCGCTTAATTAGTAAACTTAAGTTCTCAATACGAAAAGCTACCTGTCGCCTACTAATTCTTCTAAAAGTTGTTATAAAAGACATTTGGTATCTATTCACAAGTTGAAAACTTCCAAGTACGAATTACGTCGAAAATAATAGTTATATAATTGGCATTAATTCGTACAAAAGTCGTATAATTGCTAATAGACAGTAAGATGTAAAATATGTTCCTTAAAATGGAATACTGAAATTTCACCCTATATCGTTCTAAAAGATATTATGTGAGCCCTTGTTATTTCAGTAAATTGATTTTCTTATAATAAGAGACAGGAAAAATCCTTGAAAACTTTATAAAACATTTATTAACTAAATTACACGTGATCATAATAATAAATTTAATAATTTATTGACCTAAATTATATATTGTAAGCAAAATGTACGATTATGAGCGTACAGATATATTTGAAATAAGTCAAATGAATCCTATTGAAATTTTATATATTTTTTTCCCTATTAGAATACCCCAATTTAAGAAGTTATAAGTAGAAGTCAATCGATTCCATATTTAGTTACTTTGTTTTACACATTACTTTTTATACAAAAAATTATCTTACAAGGTTGTTTGCGATCCCGCGCAAGAGTAATTTTATTTTAAGATGTAATTTTATTGAGTTATTGAAGGAGAATCGTTATATTTAAATTCTACAGCTACATTTATTTGCGTTATAAATAGTATGAACAGATTTTAATTCCGTAAACAGTTTTGTGAATATTAAAAATTGACGTGATTTATCTTTTATGAAAATAAGATCTCATTGAGATTCAGGCGAAGTACTGACCCAAGGGTGTACGAAACATAATATTTTACAAATAAAAAATATTTTCCGCGAACGAATGGAAACAAAAATATCAATTCAAAAAGCGATAGCTGTCGTGGTGAAAAACCGGAAGAGAAAATCTTAACCGGCTCATTTATTCTTTTGTAAATCCAATAACAATTCACTTCACGTCCAGTACCGTTTATGTTAAGAGCTTTTCAGTGGTATATAGCAGAATACGTATATATAGTCTTTGAGATCCATTTACAGTTCCGTTTATTACGTAAGGACGTATGTAACCACCCGGATCCACTGACATGTGGCTAAGCTTCGTGTTAGTGGATCCGGATACTCCTATTAACTGTTGCGTGTTATGGATCACTTAAGTAGGTACTTTTGGTTACAAAATCTAGTACGATGGAGATACAAAAGTTATAAACACTAGGTTTACTCGCATAATTATAATACAGTGATTTATTGTTTCATTTGGAATATCGCTTTTGTTATAGAACTGCATGCGTATGATATAGCTTGAAAGAAGTTTTAAAATCGGTCCAGTAGTTTTGGAGCCTGTTTGATGCAAACAAACAAATTATCAAATATTTCCTCTTCATAATAGAAAAAATAAAGGTGTTATTTTCTTTCAGACAATCCTCGTGAGAGATAACTATGATTCAAATGGACAATTACAAGCGTCCTTCGCCATCACCATCACGAAGTTCGGTGAGAAGCGACAGTCGGGTGTTCCGACAACCGCGCATCATCCACGTAAACCGTGACGCGTCAACTATGGTTGACGGGGAGACCAGTGCTGGGCCAGCTATTCCCCAGTCCGAACCACATATGGAACCGCACGCTGCACACTTTCGATCACGCACCTTCAGCGACGGTTTTATCAGAAACACTAGCCTCGAACTCCTACTAGGCGTTGACTGCGAAGCATGTCTCGCCTTAGCAGCTCAAAGGCAGTGCATGGGTAAACATATACCAGAGCACGACTTTAATTTGGTCTGCAATTGTAATATACAGCAAAACAACTATTTAAACTGCCATCGAGATGCAGTAGACCAACGTGGACACACCCTTAATATTTACGATCTGGAGAGGATCAAAAGGGATACCGGTCGGAGCCACCTCACTATCGGGTCGCATCGCAGTCTGGACCGCAAACATACTAAGAGCAAAACTATCGGAGTCTCGAACTATATTTCGAAACAATTAATTTCATACGACCCTACAAACACTCTTGTTCAGAAAATAAAAAGAAAACTTTCCAATTTAAAAAGGATGGGCGGTGACACGATGCTAAAAAAACATACAAATGCGGTCCAACTCGCCGAGATAACATCAGGCTCGACGAGCTCTCTCAAAAAACTATCGATGCTGTCGCTCGTAGACAAGTCGCAAAGGAGGGTTAATAGTCAAAACTGTATTTTCACATCGACGAGGTATCAGCCGAAAGAAGACTTGAAGAACAGCGGTTCTACTTATGCAAATTTTTCTGGTAACGTGGACCAATGTTTCGATAGACTCAAAGATAGCAATGCTAACTCAGATACTACTAGAAAAACGATGCAAAAAATGGTTAAAATGAGAAGTTTCGACAATAATGACGAACTATTAACTAGAAACTCGCCCGCTTTAGAATCGATGAAATTTTCCACGCTAGATAATAGAAGTCGTTGTAGAAGTATAAGAAGACAAATGTCTTATAATGATTTTCCCAGTGAACGGTACAGGGATCGTGTTTCGGAGAGCTGGTCTCGGGACGACACTACTGCTGAGTCGAGGAGCACACGCAGCGATCTCGTTGATGACGACCCACACTCCTTTCTCGACGCCGATCTCATCATGATGGGTCCACGTACCGTGCACGCTCACTGCACTTGTGATTCAGCCCATGACACTAGGATACCTTCAATATTTTACGATACACAGGTTGGTTCCATTTATTTTCCTAATTACCTTATTTTCGATTCACAAAGAAAATTTCTCAAATGGAGAAAAAACAACACGCACTTCTCAGTAAATATGTGGCCCAAGAAAATCAATCGTAGCAGCCATTAACAGGGTGAAGCCGAGTACTCGTTTTTGTGAGCACGATATATTGCTGTAATGTTATCTTTTGATATTTCGAATGTACGAACTCAATTTCTATCACGTTTTATATATTCGAAGGATCGAACTTTTAAATGATTAATCTTGTTTTGTATTAATAAGATTAAAAAAGTTAGTCATGATTTAAATGAAAGTGAAAGGTCAATTTCATATTCATAAATAAGCCCCTTAGAACCTTTCCCAAATAATACTAAAATGATAAAACACAGATCATGATATTAAGATTTATTAATTATTTTATCAATATTTTCGGAATCTCGTCGGATATAATTATTATGAAAACTTGATATTTGTAAGAAATATGCCTACATTTTCTGTTATCAAATAATCATATTAATAATACGAGAATAATATTAAAAATCGTTATAAAAGTGTCTTATTGTTGAAAATACTTGCAGTATTATTTTGCTCCGCAATTTTAGTTTGAATTATGTGTTAAATATCATGATATTTACGACCTGTACTTGATAGCATTTATTGTATAAACTCTATTATAAGTTTGTTCATTTAAACGTAAGGCTCAAAAGCAAATAGTTTGTTTACATTTTCAATTATATTTCAAAAAATAGTAACGTAAAAAGAAGGAAATAATTAAGTAAGCCGTAATATATTGTTTAATTTTTTGTTCAAGATCAGTATTTTTCTTAAAATTAAACACTTTCCAGCGGTACCCGTTTTTCAATTGTTAAATTTCGAGTGAAATGCAATTAAAGTGGAAAGAATTGAGTTTCGTTATATTTTTATCGCTAAACAGACTCAAGATTCCAAATAACATGCCCCTTTTTATATTGTACTATGGATGGGTTTAATAAATAAATGTCAGTAATAAATAGCATTGAGCAACAGATACAATGAATGTACTATTTCTCAGGGTAAGAAACGAAGTGCACCAGCGCCTGATGTGACGGACCGGGGTCAGAGCCGGACATGCGGTGCATGCAAATCGCCGCAATGGCCACCTGGTACGGCCTCTACCACTAGCCACAGCTCTACAACCACAGGCAACTCTTCCCGTGAGTAATTATCGCCACTGACAGTTTTAAAGCAATGCTAAGGAGCTATCACAAAGAGAATATATCAAAAATAAAAAGTAGGTCCATTTTTTAAGTTATTATGACAACAATTGCAATCATTATGATTTTGGACAACACAATTTGTCATTTGTTATCTTTAGCATAACCAGTGTCGAATTAAGCCAGAGCGGGGCCTGTAGCAAACACTCCCTCCCGACACAGCAAAGTCGTCCTTTGCCTTAAGTGTTATTCGGAACACAATTAATCTTTGACTCGTCAGTTTATGTTTATAGAGAAAAATAAGAGTTTAGTTAGAAGCGTGGCTTATTTTGTTACTCACATTTTTATATCGAATTCAAAAATTAATTTATTGACTCTGAACCTCAACGCGCGGGCCCCGTAGCATTTGCTACTTTTACTGCGTGGCTAATTCAACCCCAAGTATAACATTTTTTTCCAACCGCACTGCGTTACACACTGTACTTGTGGAAGTGCGAAGCAGAATGGCGATTCTAGAGTACCACCATTTTGTAAACGCCGAGACGGCGATCTCAATTTGTTATTTAAAGACCCTTATCAATATTTACTCTAGAAAACAAATATGTAGGTAGATAATAGAAACGAATACTTTTAAAATGAGCTACATAAATGACTTGTAGCTTTGAGTTCTTGTGCTAATCCAATGAACCTAGTTTTGAGGCGAGTACAAACACGCTAACTCATGTAGTTTGATTAAACATACACAGTTCTAAATAATTATCCATTTCAATGATTAATCGTCTTTATATTTGAAAATCCAACTATTTAACTAGGAATTTGAAAATCTATACTAATCACACTCGTATAAAAACATTATCCTACAGTGATACTGAGGACTTGTTAAAGAGTTGTATGTAAACAGACATATAGTGATTCATCGCAGTTTGTATAAAAGAAATACACAAAAACATAACATATAATACAAATACACACAAACTTACACTCATATACACATACTCATACTTTCATATACACTAACATTCTACACACACAGTAGTAATGATAAGAATGCATGCTATTTAATTTAATTCTAAACTTGAATTATATAAATACGTCGAGTGGAACGTTGTTCTTTATACAATGAAGGTGGGCGTTTGTGGCTGCAACTCAGTTTTTAAACTAAAGCGGCTGCTTTCGTACACGATAATACCTGTAAAGTGTAAAGTTCCAGTAAAAAATATTATTATTATTATTATTATAATTAAGTGAAAAGTTTAGATTATTTATTTTACATTGAATAAACTCCCAAACTTCTGGACAGATTTTTAAAATACTTTTATCTACGCGAAGCAACATCATACGGGGATACACAGGATATAATTTACGAGGACGAAATTGTGGAAAACAGCTAGTAATAATTTAATACAGCGATTACATTAATAACAAAATCGAACTAAAAATAAAAGAAACAAGTTGTAGGTGTAGTTGTAGAGGTTATTACTTGGCTATACATTTCGAAAAAGAAAAATTAGCTCGATTTTCTTAGTCGTGTTTCTTAATTTTTGTTATTTTTATTTTATTTGTTTTAGTGAGCAGTTAATTATTTACATAAATTTTTTTTGGAATGTACTCATCAAGAGCTTTAATTTATTACCCATATTGTTAATTATAAAAAAGAAAACATTCTTCTGAAACGGCGTCATACATTCCCTATTTTTTTATATAGCCAGTGTCATTCCAGATGATATATCGTCTCTAATGATACCCTATACATTCATATCCATTATATCTTTCAAAAATAATGGTGGAATAAAGAAACTGAAAAATATTAATCGTTAACACAATAGACTACTTTTTTGGGCGGTCGTGTAAAAACTACAATTACATAGGTCACATAATACTTGCAGAGCTATTCCTGTTTACGTATATAGTATAAAAGCAAAAACACATTAACAAAGCCAAAGGTTAAAAGAGCTTTTCATAAGTCGTATACAATAATTAATGTCCTCGAAAAAGTCAGATACTCATACAAATATACAAAGGCCGTAGCGTTGAATGTCGGGAAGTACAACGTAACAGGATCATTTATTTCGTTGGGCGGAACGAAACACGAAAAGAACAAGTGTGGGCCCGATATAGCGACGTTTGCAAACGTGCTGAAAAATGATAAGGTTTTAGAAATAAACCTTATGTAAAACATTAAAGTTTACAGCCTAAAGTGATAGTTTGTTTACTATATATAAGAATAAATAATAAAATGTTGAAATATTAATTTAAAAATAGGCTACTAGCGGCAATTAAGCCCCGCATTGTAAGATCACCTTTGAAATTTCGTACTAATACACTTCTATCTCTATTCAAAATTTACTTACACACACTTGCATAATACGGCGTATCTATCATGTGTGTCAGTAGAGCTGGAACAGGAAAAGAAGTATGTGAGCGCGAAATTTCAACGGTGAGCCTTATTACAACGCCGGCGTTAATAACCGTGGGTACCTTTTAAAGTAATTATGTTTTACGCTATTAAATCATAGGTGCACTGATCATACCCTATATAAAACGCTACTCTACAGCTTAAAAAACTGTTTTGCAACGGAAAAATGTCTAATCACTACGTAAATATCATCATTAATATATTTCCGCAAAGTACTACGGTTTCTACGCCGATAAACATTCTCAATTGCGTTGCGGTCTCAATTTATTTTTTATCGGAAGGTTCATTGTGAAGTGAAATTTTCAAACATATAATCCTCTGTATCTACTGCGGTGATCGAGCAAGTTTGCGTTTGACAGCGAGATTATCGCAAGCCCGTAACATCCTCGTAACGACCGGTTGCTTGACCCAAATTGATTTTAATGTTACACACGGCAAACCATCGAGGAGAGGAGAATTGTTTAGTAAAATTTCCTTTTAAGTCATTTTCATTCTAGTAATATGCTAATATTACGCATGAAATTGTAAAACAAAGGCACTTAATAATTATTTTAAAAGATTCCATTAGTTCTTATCAACCAAATTAAATGTTTTTAGTGACTAAAATGTAAAGATTAGTTTTGTGTAATCCTGTTTTGTTTTTTTTTAATGAAAATCTTCTATTTCATTTTAAAAACCGCAAAGCATCCATATAAAAGCTTAATATTCTGGTGAATGAAAATTATATTCGGAGCAATTCAGCGACATTTGAATAAAAAGTATTATATATTCCATTCTGGTATTCTGCATAGTGAGCACTTTCAAAGGACAATTATTAGACAAAGTAGAGTTCAAAATATGAATAAAATGCATATGCAGACATTTTTCACTGACACCCATTACCGAAAAATCACATTTGCATATTTAGGTAACTTATTTTACATGTCCCACGACCAGATTAGTCTGAAAATATGAACCTTTGTGCTCGCATTCCCTTTGTTTTACATCGTAAAAATTAAAAGGTTTTAAATATTGTGCCCACGTTAATTTTAATACTCACTTTGCCTTCTACAAAACTTAGATAATCAGTAAAATTTAAAGCAATAATTACTTATTTCAGAACAATATTAATCTGTGATGTAGACTTCTAACTTTTTTTCCTTTTGTTATGAATACAACTTAAATAAACTTAAATTTGGATTTCTTAAGGTAATAAAATATTTCTATAAAATATAAAAACTACAAGTTTATTATCAATTTTAATATTATATAATAGCAATTTTCTTTTTATTAATTTGAATTTAAAGCTTTACAAAAATATAAAAAGTTTGGAGATCGCACGACGAACTGATAGTTTCTAAAATGTTAATTTACATTTTTTGAGTTAATTGTTTGATTATTCGTTACAAAATAAAATACGAATATCGTATAAAAACACACAACAAAAAGTCTTAATATAAATATTATAAGAAACAAGGACGCAGGAGATGAAACACTCTATACTATCTATCAATAAGCTAAGGAAACTTTTTGGCAACTTAAAAGAATATCTTAGGTATTGTAACGTAGTGTTTATGTACGATCACATACGTCATTTTATTTATGTTTATAATTTATATTTTATTAGAATCTCAAATATTAGATGTCAAATATTCCCAAACGTGAGTTCCTTTCATCCATACTTGCTATCCGGAATGAAAGTATTGTAAACCTTTATTCAACATTCATCCTAAATTAAAATTATGCTATAATTGAATATCGGAATTACTGTGACCAAACGATAAAATAAAAAGTATACAAGGTCAAATTAGTCATAAGTTTCCAAGTAGATTAAGTTAAGACTGCCAATGATAATGTCAAAATTAATAAAAAGCAGATAACTTAATAATTACGACCGAAATTATCGCCTAAAATAATCTTGACGATGAGACGATGCCTGGATAACAAAGAAAAAAAACATTTGGTCCGTCAGTTAGATAATAGAAAAATTAGATAAGTTTTTTTTGCTACAATTAAACAAGAATTAAACAATTATGTAGAAAATGTACATAAATGTGACGTCATGGATTTCAACTTAATGTAACGGCGATACATTTATTGATAACGCAAAAAATAAAAATACATTTTCAATGTTCTATTTATTTGTAATCTACCCGACGGAGAAAAATAAAAATTAGTCATCATCTCTCAATACTTTACAGTAAATAATGTTTTACAATAGTCATTTTAACGCTAATTTATAGACTAAACAATTGATTTTACTAACAAAAAACTTTGTTGATAATCCCGTTCTATATATGGTTTTAGGAAGATATTGTATAATAAAAAAAACACGAAGAAATATAGAAATAAATACTTATACCATCCAAAGTATACAAATGTTCATAAAAGATTGTTAAGCCTCTTAATGATAGGGATATTGGTTTCATAGTTAACAATAGGACTTCCAACAAACCTCGGCAAAAGGTCATAAAGTTCAATCAATACAAACGTAGTTAGGATTCTGTGAGCTTTGGGAGCCAGTGGTTGGCAAACAAATAGGGACTTATAGAACGAGTCTTATATCTTACCAGCTTTCCTCCAGCGGCTTCGCCTGCGTGGTCCTGTATTCTATACTAACTATATAAGAAAATTCCATATAAACTTCACCGAACTTCACTTACATCATGAAAAGAACCCCTGTACCAAATTTCAAGTTTCTATGTACAGTAGTTTCGGCTGTGCCTTGGCATATAAGTTAGTCGGGTTTGCCTTTTACAGAAGATATAATACCTCACATGTTAACAAGCGTAATAATATTCTTGTTTAGGCTTCTCCGTGTGGCATCGGCGTTGGTGCTGCGTGGCAGTACTTGTTCTGGTAGCTGGCACTGCATGTGTAGCGGGGCCCCTCGCTTTACGGGCCCCACCGGGGGCTCCTCTCCACGAACGACTAAGGCTCGCAGAACGTTTATTACATGACACTCCTCTCATTGATGGTCACAACGATCTACCGTGGAACATCAGGAAATTCTTACACAACAGATTAAAAGATTTCAGGTAAGTCACTACATGATTAATCATTTTGCAATATTGACTAGTTGTTTTTAATAAAAAAAAATGTTATATTACATTTAACATACTACAATCTCGTTATGTTTATACTCACCTACTGAAATATCGTCGAAAGTGCCGTATTTAGACATCACGCTAATATCATAAGAGAAATTAGATCATATTTCTCCACCAAAATGCCGAGGATTGGCCGAGCTTTAGCAGTCTTATTCACAAGTCTTATGATAAATGTTACGGAACAAAATTCAAGGATCGTTCCTCATCAAAATGATGTCCCTAAAGACAAAAGCTCTTTACTATAGTACGCACATCAGTTAATTTAAGAAATGTCACAGCTTACTTGGTCATCGGACATAAGGTTAAGAATAATTCTAATTATACGATAATATGAAACAGACTACTATATGTGATAAAATTTTCATCTTCAATCTACAGTTGTTTCAGCTGCTATATTAATATTTATTTTATGGATAAATTTACTAAGAAAATCACCTTTTTTTACATATGCGGCTCATGAAACTGGTGTATTTGAAAGTATTTTTCTATTAGGCGGAGAGCTCCGCTCGTAACAAAAATGAACAAGAGCTTTCTTAAGCTTTATATTTTAGTAAGCTGAAGTAGTAAAGGTACAAATCACTCAGTACCCAGTACGGTGGTCAGGTGCTGGAACACTTGGAGACGGCGTGTGTTGGTGTATGTACTCGTATGTGACATAAATTTTAAAATACTTGAATATTTGTGAGAAGCTTTTTCTTAATATAAAAAATGTTACTGCTCATATCGCATAGTTCAGCACACATCTCATTTAAAAGAGTTTTGTATTGCCACAAATTTAGTTAATTAATAAATTATTAAGTTAATTAAAAAATATTCAATCTACACAGATAACATATTTTTTTTTCAAAGCTCATTTCGCAACATACTTTGGTTTGAGTAGTACATATTTATTATACATTATGAATAAGATTCTATTTATACATACACCGCGAAAAGGTGTTCCAACACCTGACCTTCGCACTAGGTACTGAATGATGAAGTATTTTAATATACGGAAATATGAAGATGCAGAATACTCTTGCTCATTATTGTCACGACCTTTTAAACTATATAGACTAAATGTTTTAATTGACAGATTTGACGAAGATTTACGAACAATATCACCATGGGCGACAAGCTCTTGGAGTCACACAGACTTACCTCGACTTAAACAAGGGAGAGTGGCTGCCCAAGTAAGTATTAACTTATTTCACAAAGAATGTTTGCTGACAACCAACATACTTTGTTTATTATTTAATTCACATTAATCATATCAATTTAAAATAAAGATACACGGTACATTACTATTTCCATTAAGTTTTTTGTTTAATAAATTACATAGTACCAATTTTTACAGTTTTTACACATGGCTTGTCAAAGTGCAAAATAATCCCAACTTTTATAAACAGAACTAAAGAACGGAACTTCTGTAAAACTCGAACAGACGATAATGATTAGGCTTCTTTTTAAGTAAAAAAAAAAGCTAATAATTTTACATTGAACGTGCCCTCTGATGAAGTGAATGACTTTTTAAGTCATAATTAGCAGATATTAAAATGACGAAACACTTTTATAAATGGACTTAAAAAGAGGAAGTTCATTAGTTCCAGACCAAACATTTAATGGGTAATCAATCCTATGCAACTAATATTATTAATGCCAAAGTTTGTGAAATATAAATATAGTCTTTATAATAGAACATTATTCCTAGCACGACAAAAAGCTCCGTTTAATGATATTTTGGAGCAAATCCTGACTTTTTTATTGACAAAGTTAAGGATTGAAAAGCAATATATTAAATAAATATTGGGATTCGGTCGTCCCCATTTATTTCGATAATAAAATAACGCGGTAAATTTCTATTTCTAAATTATTTTCTTGAAATGTAAATGTACATCGTATTATTTATTATACTTATGTAATTCGAAGCAATAATATTTTTTTATTTAAATCAAGAATAAAATCCACATAATTTTCGTGTCACAATAAGAATAGTACAATTTTGGCATAATACCAATTACGGATTTTCATTATTTTAAAATACTACTTACTTACTTATTTAAGTAAGTAAGTTAACCTTCAATCAATTACAGCAAGATGTGTGTGTATTTTTGTATTATCAAAAATATATATGCAGTGTTATATTTAAAGCACGACCTCAATGAACTCCTAAAATATCACAACGACCGATTGATTCAATTCTATGGTAATGTTATAAGAAAAACCGCAGTTCCTTTTGTGATCTAATCATAATATCCAACCCGTCCAAGTTCTTTCGAATCTTCACAAAGCTCACCGCTATAAAACCTTTGTCAGTTTTCTTACCGCGTAGAAATTTCATATTCGGAGCGAGACTCTATCGCTCGTGCGTGATATTTAATCAGTTGTGTGTCTGAACAATGTCACGGTAGACAGCGAACAGGGGTTGCATTGAATTAATACAAGATGCTGCAAGTCGTGTGTGTGTTTTGTTTAAATGCTTCATTGAATCCAGTTAATTTCTGATTATCATTATGACAAAGTTTGTATAGACTTAACCTAACACTTTATTCATATGATATTAAAGAAAATACATACCTGTTTCATGTTTTTGCTAAACGGAACAAAAGCAGTTTTTTTATGTTTTCATAATTAAAGTTTACATAATATTAGTTAAAAATACTAAAGTTATAAGTGTTTTGTTTTATTTTTCATCATCATCGTCACTTGTGTTTATAATTCGCAATAACTGGAAGTATTCTTGCAAAGAACAAACAGCATACTTAAGTCGTTGATGATAACAAGAGTATTTTGATTTTCTTTGATTATTGTTAGGTTAACATCCAGTTTGTTTGTAAGTAAAAATATTAAAAATAAAATATTCGAAAAAGAAATGGCTTTTTTTCACATTTACGAAGTCTGCTTTTTTACTAACCTTATTTTGAACATGAGTGCTCAGTGCAGTTTCAAGTAAGAAATTGTAATATTTTTTGTATTTTTACAACAGTTTTGGGCGGCATATGTCCCGTGTGACGCTCAACATCGGGATGCTGTACAGTTGACTTTCGAACAAATCGATCTTATCCAGCGGCTGACTGACAAGTATCATCCGCAGCTGACTTTGTGCACCTCAGCAGACGGTATGTAACTTTTGCATCTATACTAAAGAATTTATATTGATAGACAGGTTATATCGATCGCAATGGACAATATTATAAATACCTAATTTACTCGTTTGTTGACTTGAAGTATAAAACTAAAGCTTATGGTATTTGATATGATGATAGCTATGTTCATCATTTATACAATACAATACAAAAATTCTTTATTGTACACACCATTGTTCACAAAATTATGTCGGAAATATTATGAATATATATTTATGTCTCAATGCACTATTTATTTATTTCAAGAAAAAATCTACAGCAAGTTCTTATCTTATTAATAATAGAACAATTTTAACATATCTCAATCTATTGAAACATATTTTAGGCCACGGGTTCCCAGACTTATTTCGTTTACTGCCCACTTTTAGAATTAATTATTTTTTGTGTTCCCATTTTGTCAACTACTGAAAACCACTATAGCTTCAAATAAAATTAATAATTGTGAGCTATATTAGCGGAAATTAAACATTTTAAACGAGAATTTTATTATAAGCAGCAAGACTTAACTTGAGACCTGAACGCAGTAGTAACATCGCCCCCATTTATTTTACTGGCTCTCGTACTGCCCCTCTTCAGGCCTGCAACGCCCCTGGGGGGCGTCATTGCCCACTTTGGGAAAGACTGTTTTAGGCTATTGAAATTTGCTGAATTTGTAAGTGTTCTACTAATTATTCACAAAAATTAACTAGCTTTTGATATTTTTTTGATTAATATCATTTCATTTATTAGAAGAAAGATCTTGTGTAAAAAATCGGAGTTACTTTTAATCTTTTCAAAAAATCTTAATAAGCACAATAATAGTTTTTAATTGAATGACCCCTCCAAATAAATGACAATAAGTAGAAGGGGAAACCGACGGGTTTTAGAACAGAGTATAGTTGAAACAACCCTGAATTCTCACAATTTAAAAACCGTTAGAAAATTAACATCATCGTCAAAATCAATCAGGTGCGTTTCACCTCAACTTTGTTTTAAATTCCCTCGATCTCCCCCTACTTCATCATATTCATTTAGAATGGACGCAATATTTTACATCTGACACGATTGTTCAACTTTCAATTCAACAGAATTCTGATAAAATTCACAGTTCATTAGTATTTTTTAACACGTTTCAAACTGATTTTAATTCCTGCATCATTTGCATCTGCTGTTGGCATAGAAGTTGCAATCACGCAAATGAACGCCAAATCAATTGTCCACAGTTCCATATGTTGGTACTATAGCTATACAATATGTTACTTCATGGTTACTTACTGAATATAATATATTAATTGAAAAATATGCGACTGATTCAATTAACAATATTGGTAGATAATTGTTACCTATTAATAAAGTACCTAGTAAATATTTACGTAGTTCCCTTAAGTAAACTAGTACTTGCAAACTTTCATATGTGCAATATATTAACAAAGTTATGGATTGCATTACTTTAAAGTTTTACTTATATTTATCTTTCTAAAAGGTTTCACGTTTATCCTTTTTTTTCATTGTATGTGGATAATGAAGTCATAGCTTTTTTAATTTGTTTTTAAGCTTTTTACTTTATTTTTTCAAATTATATTCTGTCTGGGATTTTTAAAATTATTAATTTTTATAACAACTAACTCAGACAAAGCAAATAATAATTATTTTACGTTACTTTTTAACATAAAGACGATTCACGAAAATCTTTAATTTGCCCTATAGGAATACCCCCCGTATTGTTTATGTGTAACAGTTGTGAGAATGTCCCAGAAAAGACCAATGGTTTATTATTTATTGAAATGTAATTTGAATTTGCTACCCCCTTACAGGGTGTCATATGAACTAATAACAACAACCATATTCTTTGTGATATGCAATAAAAGAATTATTATCTTTATATATTATAATGTCTCATAAGCATTTTAAAATATTATTATCAATAATAATAATAATAAAATGGTTTATTGGCTCGGATTACAAATCCTATACATAAAATAAAAAAAAACAAAAGAAAAACTACAGAGACAAACAGTGTTGAGCACTCAGCTTATGTTGAGCAAAAGCATGCACCTGCCCAACGCTGATTTTCACCCCTCTTTCCCAGAAGGTCAAATGTGGCAATTATAGTATTAAAGGAGCAGCAGCACAAACTAAGCAATTATGATTTAGCTGCAATTACTTTTTTTACAATATTATAAATCAGATACCAAGATTTTTTACTGAATACCTATTAGTTAATCAACATTTCATTCAAATTCAAACAATATGCAATATATTATAATTTAACACTTTGTGCAGATCAGGTATTATTATTGTGTATGTTACACACATGTTTCGTTGTATATGTGTGGTATGTGTGTGTTTGTTTGTGTGAGACTGTGTGTGGCATTGACCATTAGAAATATTCTTTTAACGGGAGACCGTTCCAGTAGGCATGCTTCAAGTCTTCCGCAGCTAGTTGTCGTTTTAAAAGGGCTGATTTGTATGTTTTCTTGAAATACAGTCCGCTGACGATTAACGTTCTCAAACGTGAGCTTATGTTGAAGCATTAGAAGGTCTTAAAGTTTCTATTTTTTTATGAATTTATCGCTTAATACACTTACAGTTTTTTCACTTCTAATAAAATAAACATAACAATGCTGAGAAATATTAAAATAAAATTAAAATTATCAATTTTAATATAAGATTCCAACAAATGAAAAAACATGTAATTATATTTTATAAAAACATAAAAAACTGTAGCAAAATTGTCTACTGGTAACAAAATTATTCTGTACTAGCTTTCCATAAGCGACTTCGCCCGCGTGGTCCTAAAGGAACTGTTTAGTTGGATACAGATTCATATCATGACATGGATATAATTACAATGACAAATTTGTAAATAATGGTTCCATGGTGACGTTTTTATTCCCCATACAAAATTCCACTCCCATTTTCATTCCTTTATTTGCCGTTTTTCGGGATAATATATAGCCTATGTTCACCGCATATGATGTAGCTTCCCTTACGTATCAGAATTTTTTAAATCGGTCCAATAGTTTCAAAGCCTACTCGATGCAAACAAACAATCAATTTTTTCCTCTTTATAGTATTAGTATAGATAGAAATTGCGGTTCAAGGGGAATAAACATAGTGACCTAAATATTAAGAATGCATCTTACATCCTGCTTCTGCATAAAAACTGCGAATTTATTATACCAAATTGTCAACTTTATAGATACAAAAAGATATATTAAATACTCTTTAAATAATATTTTTAACTAGACTGTATTGGAAGTGAACTCAGAACTGAACTTAGTTTATGTGTACTTATATCATATACAAATTACAAAATATTTAACAATTGAT